TTTTCTTTCTTTCTTTCTTTCTTTCTTTTTCTTTCTTTTTTTCTTTCCTTCCTTCCCTTCCTCCCACCCGCACTTTCTTTTTTCTTTCTTTCTCTTTCTTTCTCACCTCCCTCCCTCCCTTCTTTCCTTCCTTCCTCCCACCGTCTTTCTTTTCTCTCTCTTTTTTCCTCTCCTTCCTTCCTTCCTTCCCTCCCACCCTCCTTTTCTTTCTCTCTCCTTCCTTCCTTCCTTCCTTTCCTCCCTCCCTCTCCTTCCTTCCTTTATTCCCGGCTTCCCACCCAGCCCTCCAGAAGGGGGAAGACTGGCAACCTCGCCCCACCCCACCCATTTCCTTGGCCTTCCTCCCCTCCCCCTTGGGGAGAGGACCCTCCCCCCTCCTGCCTTCTTGCAACCCCTGCAAGGCAGGAAAAAAAAGGAGACACCCAGGTGCAAAACTTTGCCTGCCATTAAAAAAGAAAAGAAAAAGGCAGCCAGACCCACCCACCGCCATGCATGCAAGTGTGTGTTTGTGTGTGTGCAGCCCCTGCGTGCATGCATGCACACACATGCACACACACACACACACACCCACACCCCACCTGGTCCTGCTCCGAGTCGTAGTCCTCCTCATCGGGACTGGCTGACATGGCCATCTCATCACGGGCAGCCCAGCAAGGGCCGGGCTGGCATGGCTGGCAGCCGGTGTGGGAGTCTAACCCGGCTGTCCGAAGCCTTCGGCGGCGGCGCTCCTTCCCTCTCCTTACTCCCAGTGGGAGGAGGAAGAGGAGGAGGAAGAGGAGGAGGAAGAGCCGAGAAGGCCCTCATCCATATGCATGAGGGCCCCGAGAGGAAACCAGGAAGGGGCTGAGCTTCCTCGGCTGCCAATGGCGAGCTAACCCGGAGTGGAACAATAGACGGGCTCCCCATTGGCTGCCCAAGCCAGCCGGGGGGGGGGGGGGGGGGGGGGGGAGTTGGGGGGGGGGCAGAGGGAGGGTCTTTGCTGGAGGAGGAGGAGGAGGAGGAGGAAGGGGGCCTTGCAAAGCACCCTTCCTTCCTTCCTTCCTGGTGCAACAGCGGGGCTGAGGTCCTTGCAGAGGGAGGTTTTGCAAAGGGGCGACGGGCTCCGATCGGTGCCCACCCACCAACGGAAGCGGCTTCCTTTCGGGGCACGGGGGGGGGGGGGCTGCAGAAGCAAAAGAGGGGGTTTCTTTTTTTAAAAAAAAAATACGAAATGTTTTTGCATGCATGCCAAAAAAAACAACCCCTTTTGCTTTGGTTCTGCCAGGAGGCCTTTTCCCTCCTCCTCCTCCTCCTCCTCCTCCTCCTCCACAATCAAACCCAACCAGCAGCCCTGCAATAACTCACAATAACTCACATATCACCTGTTTTTTTTGGGGGGGGGGGGGGCACTAAACCTTGAACCTGCCTTTATTATTAGGCGCCCTTAAAGGCACAAGATTTTAAAGCAACAGCCACGTTTAAACCAAGGGCACTTCTCTATGTGGAACTGCAAGCGGGTTCAGGGAAAATAGCGTTGTGCGGTGCACCACGAACCACAAAGGGAGCTAAACACACACACACACACACAATATGAAATTATGCCAAAACATACTTTGGAAGGAAAAATAAAAACCCCTCTTTTTGGGGAGGGGGGTTTGGAAATCTCTTTGCAGGATAAAAACAGTCTTGACTTAAGGATTGAGGCCTGCAACCGAAAGAAACCAGGATGGCCTACCTTTGCGTTTTTCTTAGGCCAGGATACCACGGGAATCCCAGATATGGCCAAATTCTGGTCATCCTCTGCATGTTCCTTCAGGATGTTCTGTTTCCAAAGCAGAGGGGAGGAAAAAAAAAAGGAAATATTTGGCTTTTGCAAGGGCCGATTTCACACAATCTCCTGCATTTTAGGCTTCGTTTAAAAATCATCGGGCTTCACAAACCATGGCTTGTTTAAGTTTGCACGTGGGTGGAGCCATAAGCCATGTCGACTTATTCCATAAATCATAACAAAGCCTATTTTGGGCTGGTCGTTCCCCATAAAGCAAATCAAGGTGATTGAATTGGACTTGGACTTGGCGTATTGCGTGAATTCCTGCAAAAAAACACCATCCATTCTGGCTTGGGGTAGAAGCTACTGCAGGAAGAGATGGCCCTGAGGCTTTCCCCATAAATTAAACATAATTTGCAAAGCCAGAGAATTGGGGCTCCTCTCTTAAATGCTTCAACGGCCTTGTGGAATGGCACCCCCCCCCACCCTAAAAATTAATTAAGGATTTTCTGCGTTTTCCAGAGGGAGAAAAAAAAGCAAAGCCCCTCATTTGTTCCTGAAAGAAAAATAAGAAAGGGCCTTACACATTTCAATTTTCCAATTATTAAATTTAAACCCTTGAGTGGGCTATTGTACCATATAATCTCTTCTTTTTTAAAAAAACAAAAATTGAAATGCAAAAGAGGGTAAGGAAAGAAAAGAAACAAAAAGGGAAATAAATAGGTTTTAAAACTGCAGAGTAAAATCAGGATTAAAACTTTTGGGTGTGAGAACCACTCCTCCCCTTCCTGTGTGAAGCTCCTACCCATAAATTTTACTTTACTGTACCGTACTTTGTTGTCATTGCACCTCCTACAACGAAATCAAGCACCATCTTCAGTGCACACCATGACCATGACCATGAAAATAAACACAAACACACACCCTTCACCCTTCACACATTGAACCGGAAATCCACGACACCACACCAGCACTGCACTATACAGCAGAATTCAAAAGAGCTCCTGCCCTGGGATAGAAGCTGTTTTTCAGCCTATTTGTCCTTGCTTTTATTATTCTGTACCAGCTGCCAGATGGTCATAGTTTAAAAAAAAAAAAGGTGCCCAGGATGAGATGGATCTTTGAGGATGTTTTGAACTTTCTTAAGGCAGCGGGAGCTCTAAAGCTCTTCCAAAGAGGGGAGAGGGCAACCCATGATCCTCTGATGGGCAATGACGTTCACCCTCTGGAGCATCGTCCTATATGCCCCTGTGCAATTTGGCAAACCATACAGAGGTGCAGTAAATTAAGATGCTCTCTATGGTGCAGCGGTAGAAGGTCAGCAGCAGTTTTTCATTCAGTTGTTGTTTTCTGAAAAGCCTCAGGTTGTATAATCTCTGCTGGGCCCTTTTGACCAGGGCTGCAATGTGAGCAACCCCAGGTCAGGTCCTCTTTTAGGGTAACACCCAGAAACTTAAAACTGGCCACTTGCTCCACTCGGTCTCCATCGATAAGCAAAAGGGCTGGAGGTCTGATCTGTTCCTGCACATCAAACATGAACGAGGGTTGCTAATTCCCGCTGGAGTCCTAAACATCACAGTTGAAATGTAAAGCTATGAGAGGACTGTACCACTTGCCTGAAGGAAATGGGAAATTTATTTTCTCCTACAGTCTCCAAAAACCACCATCTGACACCAACCATAAATAGGGTTTGTTCTCAAATCGCTCAACACAACACAATCCTGCAATCTACTTGAATGGGCATGCTTAAAGCCTGTCCTCACAGCACTAGCTAAGCCATGGTTTAATCACTGTGAGGTTTTTTTTAAAATAGGTGGGTCCACAAATCCATTACACGTGTGACCCTGAACTTGGTGCCTTCTAAATACCATGAGACCTCAACTCCAAGCCAAAAGCACAAGAACATGCATTCAGCCAGGGGGCTCCAACCTTGGCAACTTTAAGAGATTTGAACTTTAATTCCCAGAATTCCTCATGTGGACTTCAACTCCCAGAGTTCCTCATGTGGACTTTAAACTCCCAGAGTTCCTCATGTGGACTTCAACTCCCAGAGTTCCTCATGTGGAATTCTGGGAATTGAAGTCCACACGTCTTAAAAGTTGCCAAGGTTGGAGACCCCTGACTGAACCATGAGCCACGGCTTACAAATGACACCGATTGGGATCCAGGCTAAACCACCAACCAACAAACCACGTCTCAGGTCTACAGAAGGACACGCTTTCCTGCTACGCACCTTCATATCTTCCAGGAGAGCTTGAGGATCGCCAATGCCTTCGGGGACACATTTCTTGTTCTCCGGAAGGGATTCCAGTTTTTCCACCAGGGCCTTCAAACCTTTCAGCTCAAATTCGGTCAAGTGAGTCCACTTGGCAGGCACCTCCGTGGCAGGAGACCCAGTGGGAGTCTTCGAATAGTCCACCGTGGCTGACTTTATACTTTCCTCCGACTCGTTGGACAGAGCCCTTTTGAAGAAGCGCGATTTTGGCTTCTTCCCCAATGTCTCCTTCCCCTCCGAGTGTGTGCTGTTAGGAGAAGACGGGACGTCGGACAAGATCTTGGGGACTTTGTCGGGACTGTTATCCTTGTCTTCCTGAGCACGAACATCGCACGAGTCCTCATCCATGTCTCCCCAGGAATCGGACGAGAAACTATCCAAGCTACGTTTCCTGGAGGTATCTGGGAGCAGAGAAGAAGACAAATTAAGAATTGCGTTGGCACAATGTTGGAAGGGCGAACAAATGCCAACAAATAATTTGATTACTCAGAAAATACTTGACCGCGCTGAAATGGGCCTACTTACACAAAAACTTAGGAATAAGGAAGACTCAAGATATATTACAGCTTGGGATAAATGGTATAAGTGGATTAAAGAGAAAAAACCAGGAAATTAAAAGATATGTTTTTGATGAATGGAGTAGTTAAATTAAGAATGTTTTACCAAATAAGAAATGAATAGTAGTAAAATTATTACCAAGAAAAAAAAAACACCGTCTTAGTTGATTAGAAGCATATGTTTTATATGTTTATTTATTATGTATATGTATATATAGATTTTGTCTACAATGTAAGGTTGTATTTGATGTATTGTACATAGCATTTTTCTTTTTTTAATCTGTAATAAAAGTTTTCTTTTAAAATTTAAAAAAAAAAAGACCTTCCGGAAAATCGAGACCTCTAGTAACAACCACCAACGTTCTAGTTCAACTTCAACCTCAATTATTTCTGTCTTTTTAAAAGCTGATTTATTCCACCAAATCTCTGCTCTTTAAGAGTCTTCACGCATGTCTTTGGAGTTATTGAGCTATCCAGCTCAGTCCCTAACTTGAAAAAGTTTCTGCAACCAAGAGTAGCTTTCCCTCTCTTGTCCCTGCTACTCCAAATAACACACTGAATTACTTACCAATTAACATTGATTCTTGTAGATACTCCTTGCTGAAATGAGAGCGCTGCGTTAGACAGAATACGTATCTCTCCAAAACATACCAACACATTTCATAGTAAAACGGGTAGCGGAACTTGGCTTGTACCTGCGGACGGGAAAAAATAGGACATAGGGACATGTCTGAATGTGGGCCACAATTTGCTCAGATGGAGGCAGAAAAGTTGAGAAGCTATCTTCAAAATAAATAAATAAATAAATAAGAGCCTTTTCTTTGTCGGCCAACCGACCAACAATCTACACCTTCCTGTGAGAGGCAATTTATCAGATAGACGGATTCCATTTAACGGAGATGTTTTATCTTGCCTGAGTTGACGTCACAATCACCATTAGCCATGGTTCTCTTGAACCACCATTTGTTGAAGAAATCACCACACCAGTTGGATCCATAGGCTGGGCCAAACCATTAACTGTTGTTTCCAAACCGGAGTGACCGGCTCACACAACAAAAACACCAACCAACCAACCAATGACACTTTCCTTGTCAGTGGTGTGATTCGTTCTGCCTGAAGTTCTCATTCTTCGGACCTCTAAAATCACATCAGAGCTGAGTGACCAAGAGGCCAGCAGAGGTCTAAATCTTGCCCTCAGGAGCATCCATACTCAGGTTCAAGAAAGTCAAGGTATGCATATATATATATATATTGAATTGAGATCTCTGCATGTGCTGCCAATTATCTTAAGAGGGTTGACCTTAGCTTTGGATCTGGACAACCACAGAATAAATTCAATATTTGCTTCTTCATGGCTAAAGGACAGAACTAAGAGCCCTGGCAAACGGTGTGTTTCTTTCCCATCTTTGGACCCACTCTTATCTCTGGGTTGGCATAATTTATGGCATTGGGGATGATGGTTCAAATTCTGGAGCAGAAAGTTTAGGTCACCTGCTGGTCCATAATTTGTTTCTCTGGGGATCTGAGGGACTCACAACTTTTGGTGGGAAGGTTAGGGTCCTGCACCCTGGTCGGAAGAGACCCTGAAACATTTGACCTTCTTCTCCAACTGTCCATTCCCAAATAGGTGTAACTGCCACTCACATTTGGGGTATCGGAGACCCCTCCCTAACCTGGAGCAAAGAGTTACAAGTCTCAGGCTCTCACTCCTTGCCTATTCAGAAGGGATTTCCAAAATTTGGGAAGGACAGGCCTCACCAAGGTAAAAAAAAAAAGAGCGACGTCCATAAAAGGAACTCAAATCATGCATTTTCTCCCTCCCGTTTAATTTCACGACAAAGAGAGCACTGCGGGGGAAACAAAAATTTGCAAAGAATTTGACTTACAAATAGGAAGATGCCTCTTTCCACCCCTCGGCCTTCAAAAGGTTTTCAGCCACATGCCTGGGGAATATATTAAAGACATCGTTTGCTCAATGCTTTCCTGACATTTGTCTTTTCTTTTCTTTTTCTTTTTTGCAATTCACCAAATTTAGTTTTGCTTCTTTTTTTTTAGGGGGTGGGGGGCGAATGGGGGAAACCAATGCTTTTTTTTAAAAAAAGAAGAAAAATAAATAAATGCTGAAGACAAAGAAAAAAAGCATGCAGTGCTCCCCTGCTGTGGAGGGGATCAAACTCTCAGCATCAGTTTGAGTTCCTAATAATTTCGCCTCTCTGGACTCCGTCCCATTGCTAGCTGTCTCTCCATTTCCCTTTTGCACATCTGCAAAGTCACAGGTACGAGGCAGACATTGGCACCCCCCCCCAAAAAAAAGGGCTTCCCCATTGCAAGCCAAATGTTGCAGGGAGCTAGAAACAGCTTAACGCTTTCTCTTGCCAGTTTTTGAATTACGATAGTTGGAAAGGACTTTCTGTTCAGAGTAGCCTTTCTCCACTGATCCAGGAAGGTGGCTGCTCTCGTGAGAAGGTGCGAGATGTTTCAGAGTAGGTCCCTCAGCAACTAGCCACAATCTGCATCTTCCCAAGCAGTCTCACACCGAGCTACACATTTATGGTGGGTCAAATCACGAGAGATTTGGCCATCCTTCCATGCCCCAAGGAAGACGAAATCTGGGATTCCTGCAAGAATCCAACTTTGGCTTGGGGTTGGCATGCCAGTACATGCCCGGCGTGGAGAAGGCAGGTTCTTGGGAAAGGAATTTAGACAAGGAGGGGATACAGGTAACAACTGTTCACCTGGAAAGACAAGGAGAGCAGAAGTAAGGCACAAAGGATCTTAAGGTTGCCTCTCTTGGATAGTCCTCTTATAGGCCCTTTAGTGCAGGGGTCTCCAACCTTGGCAACTTTTAAGACTTGTGGACTTCAACTCCCAGAATTCCTCAGCCAGCATAGCTCCAGAAACCATAGAGTCTGTTCTCTAGAGAGGCCATACCCTGGGGAACTCTGGGAGTTGAAATCCACAAGTCTTAAAGTTGCCAAGGTTGGAGAGCCCTGTCTTAAAGCATTGGTTCAACCAACCCACCGAACTCCAGCAACCATAGAGTCTGTTCTCTAGAGAGGCCAGACCCTGGGGAATTCTGGGAGTTGAAGTCCACAAGTCTTAAAGTTGCCAAGGTTGGAGACCCCTGCTATAGTGGACAATGTTTGAGAAGAAGACCCAAACGAGAGACATCACATCCAGGCTCATCAGCAGACCTCGCTCCATCTTACATACATTTTCACACCAGCCTTCTGCTGTTGGTCTCTTCTGTTCTGACTCATCTTGACCATAGTTATGATTGAAGGCTATGAGTAAAGATGGGCCTCAGACATTTTTCAGACAGGACCTCCTTTTTCTCACGTGCTTTGGAGAAGACGCCAGCCTCTCATTATCTCAAGATTTTTTTTTCAATGATCTTCAACTTGCCTTTCGAAAATCAACTCAGGCTGTAGATATTCCAACCGTCCTAACTTATTTTCTTAACTGCCCTCTGCGTTGCAACGGAAACCTACTACACTCTGTTGGGAATTAGAAGCCTGATCCTGTCAAGTAGAGATGGACCTACGTCGTTGGAAAATCAAGGCATTTCTTCCGATCTTCTTCTAAAAGAGGTTTGGTCCCAACAAAGGACACCATGGCATTGGCATCAATCTTGACGATGGGTTGGAAAGGCCCAACACACCTGGAACCGCAAGATACAGATGTGCCCCACAGCAGGAACAGGGATAGTGATGATGCATTGGGGGAAGGGGGGGGGAATTCCCAGAATTCCCTAGAAACAGCTGATCAGAGTTTGATTTGGTGACTTACCAGCTTTTAGAGAGCCAATCAAACAGTTTCCATGACAAAACCCAACATTCTAAACTCAGGAGGGAACCAATCAGAAACAAGGGGCGGAGCTACAGTTCTTCACTCCTAGCACCCACCTGTTGTGGCCACTGCCTTGACTTTTTTGGACTCCCGTACCAAGGATGCTCCTGAATGGCGAACCATCATTGCTAAATCATCCAAAGATGAAAAGGTCATCTTCCTGTAACTCAATGACTTAAAGCCCACTATAGCAAATATCCATGACAAAAACCCAGATCAAACCACCATCAAAGAGCTCAGTGTGTTGTGAAAATTCAAAAAAACCCAAAACTGGCTTGAATAAACCTGGTTGACTTCACCAGGTTCTCATCATGGGCATGCAAATATAGAGGCTGAAAGTAAACACTCATTACATTTATGACTGTATTGGGGAAAATGAGCCACTGACACTGGTCTGTAACCCTGGGAGTAGAGACCTTCCAGAATTCCAGATTGTGGGGACACATCCCCAAATCAAATCTTTATCCAACATCATCTCAAAGCAAACCGCTGAAGCTTCTTCCAGAGCATTTTTTAGCTCTACAGCGTGATGCCCAAAGTAGCCACTCTCCTGGGGAATAAGAGTGTGTTAAGTTGTCAAAAGCCCACCCCCCCACAAAGACCAATCTATCCCCATAAAAATGGGGAAAGGGGTCAAAATTCCCCCCCCCCCCCCCCCCCACAAGAACAGAAGCCAGGCCGTGAAAGGTTGCGCTTATTAAACTTCAAAGAGAATTAGATTCCCATGTGCTGCGGTAAGCCATAGTTGTGTTAAACCTGGTTGGCTAATAAGATGGAACAAGCGGAGATTCCAGAATCCATTAAAGCAACCAGCCTCCCCATATCCTGACAACAGTGATGGAAAGTATATTCTCAGGTGGTTTGTAAATCATAATTTATGGCTTGGCAGGATATGTTAAGCCATTCTGGTTGATTCTACTACAATGCATGGCTCAGAAGGATTGAGAATGCGGTCAGTTGTGATCACGCAACAAGCCGTTGCTAAACTCCATGGGTGAACCCAACCATTAAGTTTATCCAAACTGGTGCCCAGTTAGCCAGGGAAGACCAGTTCTCCACCAGCTTGCTCTGTTCTGAACCTCAGCCTTTACTCTTCTGGGTTTTAGAATTGCAGCATTACAGTCCAAATACCTGAGCGCCTAAACCCAAAAGTTTACAGACCCAAGCAAAGTTTCCTTTGAACCACTCCAGGCACCTCGGTACCTTCTGCAGAACAAACTATGATCCAGTACCTTAAGTCAAACATCTTTGGAGTCCTTACCCTTGTTCTGTCCTCAATTTCATAAATGCGAAGCTGCATGGGAACATTAAAGCTATGCAAGATATTTCCACCAAACACCAAGGAATCCACGGGGGTGTAAACCGCATGTATCCAGCCTAGAAAGACGGAGGAGAGAGGAAAGGGTTCACATCACAACAGACAGTCATGTTGGAGATGAAGTCCACCTCTTGTCTGTCCTACAAAACTGTGTTTTTCTTCAGGATCTGCCTGAAAAACCTTTCTGTTGAAGCTTCAGCCACTGAGGCAGCACAAGCCCTGAATTGAGAATAGGGTATAAATCATTAAACTACCGAGAGGTAGAAAACGCCAGGATCAGGGATGTCCAACATTGGCAAACTTCAAAACTTGTGGACTTCAACTCCCAGAATTCCCCAGGCAGCCATTTTATGAAATTCTGGGATTTGAAGTCCACAAGGTCTTATTAAAGTTTCTAAGGTTGGACACCTCTGGCCTACATCATCTCCATAGCCAGCAGAAAAAGGGACATCGCAAGCAGATGTCCAGCACCAACGGAATGGGGTTGCGGCTTTTTTATGCAATCATTTTTCTCCCAGCGAGAACGTTAAGGTCCATTATCCGGTCCATCTCTCTTCCTTATTCTGGATCTAAGGATGGAGGCCCACCCAGTAAAGGGTTGATCTTGAAAAACCAGCTCCTGGCTCCGAAAGGGGATTTACCTGAAGGAATGAAGAAAGTGTGTCCTTGCTTCAATTCGATTCTTTGGCACAGCTCCACGCGGTCCCCCAGGAAAATGTCACTCTGCTTCCCGGAGACAACCCATTCCTCGTAGAGTTCTAGGTTCTGCAACGTGGGAGGAATCAGCCAAAAGATCTAGAACCAGAGGGAGAAAACCGGAAGGCCTCGCGCGTCACATTTAGAGGCACAAACGTTTTTAAAAGAAGCAAACGAGCACGTCCAATATTCTATTTTAAATTCAGCACGCAGCCAGGCGGCCTTTCCTAGCTTGGTGATTTTTCCCTTCGCTCAAGCCTATTTTGAGAAAAGAAAAGGGGGGGAGGGGAGGGAAACTGACCCTCCGCTCTTGAGAAGGATTATTGTTTTTAAAATAAAGGATCCCCTTCCGCAGAGACTCCGCTTACCTTTCCTCCCCGGAAAACGTGGTACCACACCGAAGTGCCTCCGAAATCAATGTGAAAATCGGTGAAGCATCCCTTCACGCTCATCAGGCAATACCTGGAAGAGAGACCCTCACTTTAAAACCCGCCGAGGAGGCGCGTCTGATGGGCATATCGTCAGCAAACCGGGGGGCCCCCTCTCCGAGGAAGGCTTCCCTGTTTGTTAGCCGGGTGGGATTTTAGGAGCAGCCGAAGGATTTCTACTGCAGGGGAGGAGGGGAAGAAGAAAAAGACGGCGAACCAGGCAATGCACCCCTCCCCCTCCTTCGCGAAGGGAAGACACCAACCGAGAGGCCGCCCGAATTAAATTGGCCATCAAGACGCGCGCGGGCTTGCCCCCGTTTCTCTGTTCTCAGCGCTCCCTTTGAAACCCCCCCAAATGAGACGCGCTTTTTCTTCCCAATCCTTGCACGGGCAAAGTTTACAAACAGTTCTGCTCGAATCTCACACTCTTCGTGGGTCGACGTTTTTGCAAAAGCTTTTCTTGGACAAGGCGAAAGTGGCTCCATTCACACACACACACACACCCTCCCTGCTCCCCGCTTTGAAAACTCTGGATTGGGAAGACTTTAAAAATAATCAGTTCTGCACCATCCCTTCTCGCCCGGATGCGCTCATTCCTACCCAGCGCCCACGATCCATCCTCCTGCCCGCCATGGGCGCCTTAAAGAGAGGCAGGAAACGTCCACAGGCTTAACACCCAACACCTCTTTTTCCTGGTTCCGGTTGCTGGCTATCCCAATCAGAACATGTGAGTGTGTGTGTGTGTCCGTCCCTGCGTGTCCTTCGCCTTCCCTACCAGACCGTGTGTGCCCCGACTGCACTCCCGAGCTCTATCCCCGCTGGCCCGGTTCCCTTCTCCCGCCAATCAACTGCCGTTTCCCCTCCCCTCTGACACCGTCCAGGTGGACGCGCCCCGCATCCTCGACAGGCTGGGGAGAGAAAGCGGGGGTGGGGGGTGGGGGGGGTGTCTGCCCTTCTCCGAGGCTTCCCTTGGCGATCTGAAAGTCTCAGGTTAGGGAAAAAGCCAAGCTGCCTAGCAACCTCTTTTGAGTTGACAGGGATATGCGGTGCTTCTGTCATGGGGAAAATGGAAAATGCGTGGGGAGGGAGGGAGTTGGGAGAGGGAGGGAAGGGGATAGAGGCTGAAGGAAGGGAAAGGGAAAGGGAGGAAGGGAAGGGAAGGGAAAAGAAAAGGAAAAGGAAGGGAAGGGAAGGGAAGGGAAGGGAAGGGAAGGAAAGGAAAGGAAAGGAAAGGAAAGGAAAGGAAAGGAAAGG